ATCTTCCTATCATTAGCCTCGCTTTCGTCTAGAATATCCTTTCTAGCCCTAGTATCTACAGTGACTTTATCATTAGCCTCGCTATTATTTAAATTAACCTGATTTCTAAGATTTAACTCCTCCATAGAGTACACATCTGTAGCATACTTTAAATCAGCCTCTCCCAGGCCGGAAAACTTCCCAGGGGCCCCTGCAGCTTTCCCCGTCTTGGTCCTCCGGCGTCCCTTCAGACCTACGGTTGCCATGGAAACGGCAGATTTATTATTGCTACGTAAAACCTTTACCTCCTGACCATTTATGGACAAGGCGGTTGGGCGTGACGTATATACAACCCTTTGTGCATCCGCAAAATCATTTCTAATTAGCATCCTGCATGGTAAACCCAAGTTTCTACCACCAAGAAAGCAAATGAGGTTCTTATCTCACCTATGTTAAGCGATTTAGAGAGATTTACCTCCCCTTTATGCCGTAGAAAAGAGCCATCCCCCCAGTGAACAGATTTCTCTACCCGCTTATATGGAATATTTAGCTCTTTTAAAACTTCCCTATGTACCAAAGAAACTTCAGCTCCTGTATCGAATAGCGCTGTAACGCACTCATCTCCAAGATGAACATCAAATAAAAGCATTCCTTCACTATCTCCCAAGGACAGGATTTAAACGATTTCTTTACTGTCTTTTTTTGCTTAGTTGCCTTATCCTTCAAATTAGGAACAACTTTAGGAAGGACGGAAACCTCCCTTGTTGCTACGCGTTTTTTTTTTTTTTTTTTTTTTGTGGCAGGTTCTCTAAGGTTCTGGGCAGTTTCTCGCAAAGTGCCCTATTTTATTACAGTTAAAACATTTAGTCTCTGACAATCTTTTGACGTGTCCCTGACACTCCTCTCAACTTTTGGTCAAAAAAGAAACATCTGTTCATGATATGACCTATTTTCTGACAGTGCCCACATGTCATCGTAGGTCTGCCACGACCAAGATTCATGGCATCATCAATGATCTGCGCTCGGTTGATGACGTGGATGACCTTGTGGTCGTCCTTCAGCTGCTGGATGAGGAGGCCCCAGTTGCGGTCGTCGTAGTTGACTCGGTAGTAGCCCGTCTGCTGCAGGTTGAAGATGACCCACTCGTCTTCGGCAGAAAAATGCGAGACGTTGAAGTAGTCCGAGTAGTCTCTCAGCCACGTGAGCATCTTCGTTCGGCTGAAGTCGGCTTCGCTCCGAATCGTGACACTCAGGGGAATCCACCGCCTGTAGTCGTGCGTGCCGCTGAGGTTGCGATTTCCTGAAAGGAAGTGTTCCTGAGAAGGAAAAGAATTATGGAATATTGTTCTTAATAAATCTGTCTAATTATGTATATTTTTTTAAAGAATTGCGCTTGGTTATTTGAATACCTCCGTTATTCGATATAGCTCACGAAGCTCACCTGCGCGATAGAACCAGAGGTCCCATCGGCGCTCCTGGCAAACCGGACGACGAGGTAACCCTCCTGCAGCGTCCAAGGGTCCATGAACAACTTGACGGTGTCGAAGTCGAATATAACGCCATCCTGGTGGGCGGCATCTGTCAGATACTCCCAGAGATCGTCTTGATCTGCATTGCTGTACTTGCTACGAAATAGTTTAGGAAGAATAGTGTTAAAAATCACGCTGAAGTTAGCAGCATTAAAACCCATTCATAGACACTAAACATGTCCAATAACATCAACAAACACGCATATATTTACAATGAATTCAAGTAGTTGTTGAGGCCTTTCCTGAAGGTGGCTTGGGCGAGGAAGCGGGACATCATGCGGATGACGGAGGCTCCTTGGTCGCGCAGAAAGGAAAAGACCGCCATTAAAATCCCACTTAGACATTCTGCGGAACCGACGCCTCATTCAGAAAGAGTCGACAGTGGCATAGCTTGCCTTTCAAGTAAGATATGCTGTCAAAGTTTTCGTTGATATCGTCTCGGTGACAAACGGATACTGATATTGTGTGACGACTGCAGGCTGTCCTGCCGGAGTACCTGCTGGAGGATCCTGACGCCCTCCCACGGGGCCTCTGGCTGGAAAAGGAAGAGATAAGTGAATGAATAATGACAATAAAAATAAGAGATGCATGGACAACTAAAAAAAATAGAATAATAGTTATACATAATGATTATTGCATAAATGCCGTTGCACGCTTTGTTTGTGCTTGTGTATACCGAAGAACATGCGTTTAAATTATATATGTAAACAGTTTTGTTTCTTAATCATTCTGAACACAATTTCATAATTTTTTTAGTTACATCTGCTCTTCTTATCGTGTTTTCCAGACATCTACCAAGGACCACTCACCTGTGCGGCTGCCACGCCCAGTACAGTCATGTAGGTGGCGAATCCCTCACTGAGCCAGGTGTCATCCCACCACTTGGGCGTGACCAGGTAGATATGCGTGTCTAGGATGATATGTACAGATATATAAGTATATGCGCGTCTGTGAAAGGATGATATTCTTTGGGTTGGGCTTCGCACAATTTT